CTAATCATATAGAAAGGCATTGCTAATATATAGAGAGGCTGGCTTATGAAAGTAGATAAAAAGGAGCTTGTATTAGAAATAAACGGATCATGCTCATCATATTGGTGTCTGCATGACCTTGTGCCCCCRTCGCCCAGAAGGCCAGAACAAAGGGAAAGGGGCAAGACAGGAGCCAAGATCCAGAGCCTGCTTCTTTTGATACCCTAACCAGACCTCCCCGAAGATGCTGCAGAGTAGCTGGCAGAAGCTTGCAGAAGGTGAGGGAGGCTGGCTCAGCACAGGCAGACTTTGTGAGGGACTCAGCCAATGTCGATCCTTGGAAGTTGCTGGCCCYGAAGGCTGCGTTGCACTTGGGCCACTTGCGCAGCCGGGTCTCGTAGCACATCTTCACACACTCGAATCAAGAGACATGGAAGCACTTGGTGAGCACCGTGTCCTTCTTGCGTGTGTTGCAGCACGGGCACGTCAGGCCTGCAACACACAGAGTGCTGTGAGGGCCCTGCAGCCACCTGCTCTGCTCAGAAAGGCTCTGGCAAAACTGCCCCTGGACACCCTACAGTGATCTGGACATTTTACTCAGAGATATGAAACCTAGCACAGATAAAGGAAGGTATCAGGAAACAACATCATCCCAACAACCAGAAAAATGTGCTCCCTTGAAGTCTGCACCACAGCACAGATACTCTTGAGTTTAAAAGTGTAGGTAAGAGATGGTCATTGGCACAAAGCATGCAGAGACAGTGGTTTGACTGCTGGCACAATCGGTTGTGACACAGTCATTGCCAGAGCTGGGCAGCAACCATCTCCCAGTTTCCAGCAGCTGAATAGCTGTCACAAACACCAGGCCAAAAATTCTACCTATGGACAGCTCAACACAAGAACACCCTGGTTTGGGCACTGCTCCAGCAGGGAAGGGAGGGACAGCTCTTACCTGAGCTCAGCCTTCAGCTGCTTGATCACTTCAGCCTCCTTCTTTCTCCCATTTTCCATGCTTCATTGTTCCATACTTCCCTTTCTCCTTCTCTTTGGACTCTCTCTCCTTCTCAGAGTCCTTCTGCTTTTGCTTTTTCCACTCTCATTTTTCCTACTCTTTTTCCTTGCACTGTTGTATTGGGTCTGWCTGCAGTAAAGTTCACAGCCCTTACAGTTCTGTGCTTTGCTTGAGTAGCTGGAAGGGCACTAATAACAAACTAGYGTTTTGGCTACTGTTGAGAAGAACTGTTGCTCTGATATTCCTTCCCCCATCAAAGGGATGAGAGTGGGCAAGATCCTGGGAAGGGACACAACGAAGCCAGCTGACCAAAATTAACTACAGGGATACTCCATATTATATGATGTCAGCCCAGACAGATAAAGCCAAGGGACAGAGAAGGAAGTGAGGGACATTCATGAGTCTCCAATGTTTGCCTCCCGGAGGAACCATTATATGTGCTGAAGCCTGGGAAGTGTCCAAACATTGCCTACTGACGGGAAGTAGAGACTGACTTTGCCCTTTGCTTATGAGTGCAGACTCTTGCTTATTTCTTTCTTTCACTATAATATAACTGCCTTATCTCACCTGCTGGTGTTCTCCATCTTATTCTCTCCCCTGTCCTATTGGAAGGGGATAGAGTGGCTGAATTGGCATCTGGCACTCAGCCAAGGTCARCTTGCTCTCTCTCTTTCTTCTTTTCCTTCTCTCATTCTCTCTGCCTTTTCCATCTCTTGCTCCGGTTCCTCCTCATCTCGCCTGGCCCTCATTTCATTAACATCTTCAGAAGCAGTCTTGGGAACAGACATTTGATCAAAAGGATTATCAGGCTCCTGCTTGACCTCTGGTGGTTCCTCCTTTGTGTCTTCAGTGCTGGACTGGGACTGCAGGAGAGCACTGCCACTGCGAGAGTGGATCTGGAGTGAAACAGCAAGAGAGATTAAAAGAAAACAAACCTTTAAGCTCTCAGCCAGAAATCTTCCTTACGCCCTTCTCCCTTGCCTTCCCAGATCCATGCTTCTATGTCCCCTTTGTAACTGCTACTACTTTTCATGGAGCACTACACAGCTACAAAGGAAGAGCATTCATTTGGTGAAAGGAAGCAGCAGAGAGCAGAGTTCCACAGAAACTTTCACTGCATCCTGCACAGGGTATCAGAAAGGTTGATATTGCTGGCAAGGGTGACAGCATTCCCTCTTCTCCTAAGCACTTTTCCCCTTTTTCTGTCATTTCCGGCTGCGTTACTTTGCTCAGGTCAGACTGGGCCTCTCTCAGCTTGTGCTTGCATCTCAACACCTCTCTTCAACTGGTGGTTGTGGTTCTGGAGGCTGCTGATGAGGTGACGCATCTCCCGATTAATTGGGCCTGCAAAAAGAAACAGAAACACCACTATAACACAACACACTTCTGTCAGCCTTCTGTGAGGACTTTTATGGAGATGGAGAGCTAAGCTAAGTGACAATGACAAAGACCCAAGGTGACACTATTACCATTCTGCCACACAACAATGCAAAACAACACATTTACAGAAAAAAAGTCATGCCAGCTTTATACACAAACATGACCTCCCAATAAAGCAGGTGCAGGTGAAGAGCTTTGTATTTTGAGATGAGGGGAACAAGCATTTAACAGCAACAAAGAATCAACCCAGGTGCTCTAGTGCACTCTAGGCTCTATTGGACATTGGGGGGTAGGTGGTGCTCCTTTTTAGGCACAGCAGAACAATGCTATACCTGCTTCCTCATTGSCAGTAATGGACTTGCTGTAAACCATAATCACGTAATCAATAAAGATGGACACACAGAAAAGTGAGAGAATAGAGAAGATGCACRTGCACATAAGGCATTATGTTAGATTACTACCAGTAAGACATAATGACTGACAGGAAGAGAAATGAAAAAAAAAGGAGGTACAGAATCTGAATTCTCCTTATAAAAAAAGTTAGCAAGTAACTGTGACTAACAGCATTGAAACAGACGCATATACACATGCACTCAGCTTAAAAGTAATGAAGATTAAAAAAGTTATAACCTAAACCATTAGGTTATAACCTATAAACCATTTCTCTTTAAATGAATACATGTGGATAAACAGAATTCAGAGGTGCCTCAACACAGGTCCTGGCATCAGATCTCTGGATTCAGGTTAGCGAGCCAGACATATTTCTTGTAAAAGGCAATGACGACTAAGATTTGYTCTTTCCATAATATATTTACCTATCACAGAGTCATAGCTTTTTATGCTAAGACCTTTCAAACATCACAAACTTATAGGCTGTTTCCTATCTATCCATCTCCCACACTGGGAAAGACATAAATTTACTGATCCTTCCAAGAGCCTCTCTCCCCACACAATTTCCCTGATTTTTTCAGTTTTCTGGTTCCACTTGCACAGGGCCTGGAGAAGCTGGAAGAGAGGTCAATGCTTGTAAAGAGGTGAAAACAGTTTTAACCAGACACGATTGAAATGTCTGGTTAAAACTGTACTGAAATGTACTGAAAGATCAGAATGGGACACAGGAAGGCGATCATTACAATTTCCAACGGTGACCACACGGTGTCACCAACGCACTGAACTGCAAGTGCAGGCACAGACTCGCTGAATTTGTATCTTGCACGAAGTTTAACACAGGTAAGAGCAGGCTCACAACAGACACTGCTAATGAGGCTCTGTGGAGACACAGCACTGCAAAGCAGGGGACAGCCCATCACACAGAACACCTTCCTCCTCACATAGGTACAAACATCTCACCTTGAGTTTTTCATTCTGTGTTGTTACTTCCTCGAAATCCTGGTGCAGTTTCTTCAATTCATTAAGACGATTCCCAGCAACCTCTTTATTCTCTTCCAGTTCTGCATTCATCTCCTCAAACTGTTGGAATAAACTGCTTATAAATCTCACTGTTAATGTGTCTCCTGAGAGTACTAAAGAAGTATCTGTTTATGCAGTAACAATTACAGACTGAACAGTCAGGTAACCTAAGGGAGACAGAGTCTAACTTCACCAGGTGTTTCCTAAATAGCAAACTTGTATACAGACAAAATGGCTTACCTCGAGTCAGCCAGRTTTGTGGGACAGGATCTAAAGTTATCTAAAATAAGTATCAAAATTCTGTTCAAACTGTGGCCTTATGCACAAATTCTTCCTTGACTTTATACCACCCCTTGTCCACAACCAAGCTCCTGACCTTACCTTGAAGGCATAAATGATAATTGTTCCCCCATAGAGGCTGCTCCCAGCTCCATATACCTTGTAGCCTTTGGAATTTACCTGCAAAAAATGCAATAGACTTCCTCAAGACCCCATTAAATGCTGACAAGACTGATGCAGCATATCCAAGACCACAGATGGTACACTGCATGTTCTCAGTTCTYGTAGCAAAGTACCAGAGAGGACGCCTCACATTGAAACCCACCCCCACTTCCCAGGTTTCCGGGCCAGGTGGACAGCGCATACTTTTTCCAGGACATCAGCCAGGTGCTGGTTGAGCCTCTGCTCCCTCTTGCAGATCTTGTCMATTTCCCACTGAAGGTCATCCATCACGGTCTCCAGGAGACCCAGGGTTCTGCTGTCCCCACCCTCTCTTGAAGCTTGAAGAACTGCAATCAAAGGAGTCTTTCAGGCACTATACTGGATAGAATTAACTTTTCCTGAGGTTGTTCAGGAATAATTTCACTCTTATTCAACATGGGCTTCTCATATTTTGCTCTGGTGATAGACTACAGAGTGAACAGATGTGAATTTTACACTGGTCAAATCCCAAGCCAGTAACAAAAACAAGACAGAACTGAAGACGGAGAAAGAAGGAAGCCAGTAATATTTGGCAGAAATCAGAAGCAGCAACTTCAGCTTATTCAAAGGCTGTTTAAAATGTTATTGTTTTTAATCCATATGTCCATCTACTCTACAGACCACTTAAGTGCTCAGAAGTCTAACACTGAGCAAGACTAGCATTAACACAATTTGTGAATGAGCTAACTGAAATCTCTGAAACAAATGCTAATAATGTGAATCCTTTAAAGACAGGGATCATCTTGTAACCCATAACATTATACTGTTAAATGACACAGGAAAACCAAGGAATTCAGAGTGACAGGGATGTCACCTCAAGTGTCTCAGCTGTCTATCCAGGCACCTCACACCTGCCCCCACCTCTACTGCTCTCACCTTTTCTTTTAAAGTTCATTGCAACTCACTGACTTGCTTATATCCTTTCCTTTAGTGATGTAGCAAGCAAATCAAATCAACCTGAGTTGCACAGAAAATCTATGTACAGTTCTCCACAATAACACTTTTCATTAACTTGCAAACTTATTTGTTCCTGTGCCTCTCCAATAACCTGCTTTCCAAACTATGGTAACCACAAATTATATTAAGCAGGACCTCAAAGCAGATTTCTTTCTCTCTCCTTGTTTTACCTCCTGAGACATGATTCTGTGCTTCTCCCAAATTCCTTGGTTTCTCTGTGTCATTTAACAGTCTAATGTTATCGGTTACAAGATGATCCCTTTTATTAAAGGATTCACATTATTAACAGCATTTGTTTCAGAGGTTTCAGCTCATTCACAAATTGTGTTAAGGCTGGTATTGCTCAGTGTTAGCCCTCTGAGCACTTAAGTGATCTGTAGAGTAGGTAGATATTCAGCTCCATTACTGCTTTTTCCATCAGTGCCTATCTGAAAGGTGCACAAAGAAAAGGAAATTAATGGAAATCAAGGAACACTGATTTTAACTATTAAACAGCAAAGAGAGATATAAGAAAACAGAAAAGGAAATTTCTGGGTTTAACTTCAGTTTACTGTACCTCTCCAACAGGTGGTTCCTGGGAGGCTGATCTCTAGCTTTGACTTGCACTCCTTAAGCAAAAGGCTCTGCAGTTTAACAGTGCTGCATATTTCTATCCCAGGTACCTTCACCTCACACCAGAGATCACTCCAGCTGTGTCAGTATCAGCAACCCAGAGTATGCTCTTGGAACCCGGAACATCCAAAGACAGGCCAAACTCACACATGAACCTGCTACAACAGCTGGCTTGGGACAGCCCAGCAGGTGGCTTGGGATGACACAGCAGGTGACAACCACAGCACCTGATACAGGCTCAYATGGCAGCAATTTCAATGCTACTACAGTTTATGACTACCAGCTAAGGACAGSAAAACTTCTCTACACCAAAGCCAGACTTCTCAGAGTTCCTTGGTCAGAGCACACAGAAGGCACAAAAAAGAGAAGCTAACATTCAATCGAAGTTTTCGTTCAAAAGATTAGAAAACTTCGTTAGCTTAAGGTTAGAATTTTAAACAGTCATCTGACTATAAAGTGAATCTGCTACATTAATTTTTAGAAGATGGTCACTTGTTTTTTTTTCTGCAGAACTCCGCTATGTGCGAATGCTACACTTAAGTATACTATGCCATTAGATAGAGAGTATTTTGCTCAAAAGTCAGTGGAAACTGAGCAGCTGTTTCCACTGCAAATGAGGAGTAAACTGCAAATGAGGGTCCAAAATCAGGTTGCAATGCTGATTTCACTTCTTCACTTGTAAGYAGGAAGCCTTTTATGTGGTGGCTGAGGACAGCTGGGTGATAAGGTTCAACTGTGTCCTGTAACTTCTCAGGTGCATAAACACAGTACTGGCACAAACAAGCTGTTGGGTTTCTTAGCCCAACATGCTAGGCAGAGCTATTAGCATTCAAATTTAGAGGTAGCAACAATACACTTCTAGCAGATAGTCCTTTATTGGAGGTTTTGATAATGAAAGTCCTCTGGCATGGACTCAGTTTAAGGATGCCCACATTTCTGCTAGTCCATCTCTGCCCTCGCATTGTTTGGGGGATCCCACAATTAGCAAGGTAATGGAAGTAAATCTACTTATAAGTAGATTTCTCTTAAATAAATCTAGTTATGTTCTAACTGTGAGTCTGCCTGCCTTTGCTGACTCACACATTCTGGTCCAACATTAAGCTGTAAAAGACATCAGCAGGGTCAGCACTCCAACCAGAAAGTAGATAGGAAAATATCCACTGCTCTGTAATATTAAAATAGAGGCACTGTGCCTTATTGTGCTCTTTGCAAAAAAATCTTCATCCAAGTTCAGGCTTTGCTTTTAGGAGACTAATACTAACAAGGTTAGACTTAGRCACATAACTGAGACTCTTATCTGTGTGGCACCAGTTCACTTCACAACAACCAAACTGTTCCTATAGAATCTACACACAAAGCCAGTCAAAGCTGAGGGCAGTGACACCCTGGAAATGAGCAAATGAGCCCTGTACTTAGAGATCTTACAAGCCCTTGGAACTGAAATGCAGCTCCACGCCGAGGCTTGGAAAGACCCATTCCAAGAGTCTTCCTGTGTACTACAAGAGACGTAGACATGTTTGAAGAGAATCCATCCCTACATTGATGCAGTGTGAAAAGCCCTGGAGCCATAGTTATAGAATCACAGAACAGCTGAGGCTGGAAGGGAGGACTGGAGGTCACCTGTCCCATGCTCCTGGATGAAGCAGGATCAGCCAGAGCAGCCAAGGGCCCTGTCCAGGCATAGAAACTCAGCCACATCTCTGGGCAGCCTCCCCCAGTATTTGGGCACCTTCAACATTAAAATAGGTTTTTCTCATGTCTGAACTGTATTTCCCATAGTTCCCTAAGATATTATTGAGCAAAATTACAAGTATTTCCTCAAAGAGTTTCCAAAACAAATGGAGCAGCTGGAAATTGAAAATGTAACCAATTAGATCTTCATTAGACATGAGCTCCCAGAGTCACTGATGCTGTGCCAGCCTCTAGACTGAATGAAACCAAAAGTGAATGAAATGCAGAGCACAAAMCCTGTGTTGTTCCATTTAAGCCTATAATGGCATTTATAGTCAAACTAGGGGTTACAAACCGAACCTTCCAGTTCTTATCTATTTGCTGTAATTGAGCAGTTCTACCAAAAGCAGTAACGCCATTGTATTTTTTATGATGAAGCTRGTGCATTGCTCTGCCAAACCTCAGCATTTAACAAGCATCTCAGCTTACCACTGCCCTTCATCACACACAAATAATATAAAGATTATTTCTAAATGAGTTCCTGAAGCAGCACATATCATGTTCTGTGAGGTATCTTTCAACAAAAGCATTAGATTATATCTCAAACTAAAAAACAAAGACAATTTAAACTGAACCATCTTCCTCATCTTTGCAGCAGCACCAACTTCAGCTGGAATTAAAACGGCACTAGAAGGTCACTAAAAACATCACATTTGTCCCCTGTCTGTCCAACAAGTCACCACTGACCACTGCCTTTCACTGTTTGTCCATGGACAAAATATCCCTTCCACTGCCTCCTGGTACCATCCTCACAGCTTCAGCTCCCCCCTCCCCACTTTCTCACATTCTGTACACCAGGATTTAGCCCATTAATATTTTATGGCCACAGATGCTTCTCTTTCACAGAATCATTTAGAATGGGAAAAACCTCTGAGATCATTGAGTCCAAGCTGTGAACCAACGCTGCATTGCCAGCTAGATCAGGGCACTGAGTGTCACACCCAGTCTTTCCTTAAACACCTCCAGGGAGGGACAAGGACTMCACCAYCTCCCTGGGCAACGCCTTCCAATGCTGACAACCCCTTCTGCTACTCACACACAGAACAGGTAAAGAAATCTAATCATGACTGTACAYTGTTCTGAATGTCATATGTCCTTTTTGATACAGAACAACTTTTCTTCTCTGCACACCGACAAAATAAGCTTTATTTTTTCACATTTCACATATTTGCTTTAAAAAGGATACATTTCTGATGACAAGCCCTACAAATTCAAACTCGAATTAATTTTCTCTTGTTATATACTACCATTCTACAACTAAATCCAAAAGTCTCAAGGTTTCATTACATTTGCCATCACCATCACCRGCTGTTCCTGCTACAGTACAGAAACTAAACTGCACACATATAAACCTGTACTTATTACTTATATACAGACACAGAATCRCAGATAAAAGCACAGGGCAGATTCAAAAGCTGCTGTTTGAGTTTATACTCCCCAGCAGGAACTCCAGTCAAGCAATGTTCCACCCACAAGCCTAATGAGGATTTTTCCATGGCTTCAGGTCAGGCTCAGAAGGAGTATCACAAGCATGGACCGAGAAAGGACAAAACTGCCAACTCCACTGCAAGATCAAATCTAGAACTCCTTAAAATACCACCTAATTTAACTTCCATTCCTTTAGGAACTCAACCTTTTCTGTCAGTCCTAGGCTATTCCCATGATTCCCACTCCAAACAGTCAACATTGACTTATAAAAGACTGACTGTCCTCCCCCTACCAGGGGCTCAGATTCTTATGGTTAAAACCCTCTCACTTGGAGAACAAAACACACCTCCACCTGGCACTCCCCACACTTACCACTGGCTAGTGTCATCCAGTCCAATCACAATCCACCACTTGCAGACAAAACTTTTCCAGACTCAGCACTCAGCCACTCATCCACAACCATCCACTGACATGGAGCTACTGGAGAAGGTCCAGCAGAGGCAATAAAGGTGATAAGAGGGTCTCTGTCTTACAAAGAGAGATGTGGGAGCTGGGCCKGTTTAACCAAGAGAAGACTGAGAGGGAATCTCATGAATGCATRTATCTATCTCCAAGGTGGGTGCCAGGAAGATGGTGCCATACTCTTTTTGGACAAGGAGCAATGGTGACTAAAACATAAGAAACTCCACCTCAACATGAGAAGAACTTATTTTCTTTGAGAGTGAGAGAACACCCAAGGAGGGCACGGAGTCTCCCCCTCAGGAGACATACTAAGTCCAGCTGGACGTGGTCCTGTGTCACCTGCTCCAGGTGATTCTGCCTTGGCAGGGGGGGTCAGACTGGGTGATCTCAACCGGAACAGTTCTGTGATTCAACCTCCCACATACACCAACCGCTCTCCCACATCCCACGGGGGTCCTGCCCCTGCCCCCGGGATCTTCCCACAGCGCCAGCCGGACACGCCTCGGGCCCGTCCCTCCCTCCGCCCCCAGCGACCCCAGCCCCTCCGCACGGCCCCCTCCCGGCTCTCCCCGGGCCCCGGCCCCCCCCAGACCCGCCGCGGCCGCCCCGTTACGGCCGCCCCCACACCGCCCCGCGCCGCCAGCAGTGGCCAGCAATGGCCACCGCCGGCCGCCTGTTCCGGCCGCCATTTCGCCCTCACTCGTCATGGAGGCGCCGCTTTGCCCTCGCCCGACATGGCGGCTCTGCCCCGGCACCGACGCCGCCGCCCGMACCCACACCAAAGATGGTGGCGCGGGCGGAGCAGCCCCCGCCCACAGCGACCCGGGAGGGGCCGCCTCCCTGTGCGCCCCGGGAGCGCCCTCGGAACTGCTGAATGCGGGCAAAACGTGCTGGGTGCGGAGCCGGGGTAGTGACTGACTCCTGCAGGCGGCGCTAGRGAGGCCACACTCGAGTGCTGCGTCCAGTTGTGGCCCCTCAGATCAGGAGGCGCCGTGAGGAGCTGGAGCRTGTCCAGAAGAGGGAATAGAGCCGGAGAAAGGGCTGGAGCACAAGTCCCATGAGWAGAGGCTGAGGGAGCTGCGGGGACTCAGACAGGAGAAAAGGAGGCTCAGCGGGGACCTTCTGGCTCTCCGCAACAACGTGACAGGAGGGTGCAGCCAGGGAGGGGTCGAGCTTTGCTCGCAGGGAACAAAGGACAGGACAAGGGGAAACGGCCTGAACTTGTGCCCGGGGACGTTTAGGTTGGAAATTAGGAAGAAATTCTTTACATAAAGGGTGATTAGACACTGGAGTGGGCTGCCCAGGGCGGAGTCACAGTCCAAGGAGATGTTTAAGGAAAGACTGGACAGGGCACTCAAGTGACAAAGTGGTCTTGGGTCACAGGCTGGACTCGATGATCTCAATGGTCTTTTCCAGCCTAAATGATACTGTGATTCTGTCGAAACTTATRTGTGTGGAGTACATAAATGGGCACACACCACATAGGTTAGCTCCAGCTAAGATTGAGGTAATAATGCAGGTCGGAAGTGAAATTTTAGTGGTTTAGGTTTATCATCATCTCTGTGCATTCTTGCAGAAAAAATACGGAAACACCTGCAAAAAGCACCAGGCTGACAACATTCCTGCTTTATTTGCATTTCGTAGAGAAGCTGTAGATGCCCCATATCTGAACGTGTCTAAGGCCACGTTGAATGGACCTTTGAGTGACCTGGTCTAGTGGAAGATGTCCTTGCCCATGGCAATGATTTGGAACAAGATGAGCTTTAAGTTCACTTTCAACCCAAATAATTCTGTGATTTGATGTTTAAAGTTTGAAGTAGGTTTATGCCTCCTAAGCAGAACAAGGTTTTTGTGAAAGTGCAAGGTTCGCTTTCAGCCAGCTACACTGTTGCTGTCTCCACTGAGCATGCAAAAAATAAGTACAGTCCCCATCCTGCAAATCACAATATAACTTGCTGCTATGTCCAAGAGCTATAGAGTAGCTGAGTAATACACTGCAAGACTTCAGTCTGAATAAACATCTGAGTTCCTAAAGGAAAAACAGTTTTCCTCGTGATTTTTTTCCCTCCAGCAGCTGCCAGAGTGAACTTGGTGAGCCAGTGAGCTGTTGTAGCTTTGTGAGCAAGTGTGAGAGAGCTGGGACAGGGAAGTTGACCAGCTTGGTTGAAATCCGTTTTTACACAATACTGTGTAAATAAACCTCATGTAACAGGACTGGAAAGCTGAGTATCTCGGGGATTTCTTAACAGGTTGAATTCAAATCTCCCCTAGTAAAAAAACAAAACCCACAACAAACAACAAAATATTTGCTAATACGTTTTCCACCTACAGCATTTCCATGCAGCTAGAGAGCCCTTACCTGAGTGAGAACTGGTTGATAAGTAACTGGTTCTTAGTGCAGCTAGTTCTTTACCAAAACATTTGAAATCAAAAGGTGTTTATGCTGCATCAAATGTATGCCAAATGAGGTCTTCCAGTCAGCACACCTTTCAACTCTAGTGGTTTTTTCTCGCCTTTTCTTTACACTTGTTTTTTTTCTCCGCTCTACATATTTTTCTCTAAGGTATGGAACCCATAAAGAATAAATTGAGGTCCCTCGGCAAAGCTGTAGCTGAAATATGGTCAGCCATTACATTTTATTTAATTTTATGCCAGTGTCTTTTATCTCTGTGCCCTTTGGCATTTCCTCCACAGGGGGAAAAAAACATTTCCTGCAAAGCACTCCTACTCTTGAGCATTCAGTTCCATATCTATCTTTACTTCCATGCTTTAGATAAGCATTCAAACCAACTTTGAAACKGCTCTTTTATACACCACGTACCACAGACCCAAGTGTTTGGGACTGCCCTAAAATGGTATTTAAAAGGGCAAGTTCCAGCTGCCAGCTGGATTCTGGCCGAGAAAGAAACGTCCAGGCTTCAAGATACCTATGCAGTTTTCCACACAGCCTGCAAATCCTAAACTGAGGCCCTTTTGTTCCCCTCCAGGGGAGGGAATGTTCTCTTTTCCTCGGAGTTGCTTGTAGATTAGCTGTCACCTCCTTTTTAATTGTTGTGCAGAGACAACACAGCAGATGAGGGAAAAAATAAAACCAAAAATCTGAGTGGTAAGAAGAGAAAGAGAGGGATTAATAATACTTGTATTAATACTTGAGATACTTTTGTGAAGAAAGTGGSAGAGCCAAGCAACTCAATGTCAGTGCAGAGGAACTGCAGAGAGAAGTCCTGGAGCAATTTTTAATTACTTAGAATCTGCCAGGAACATGACAGGTAGAGCTGCTTTTTTCCTGAAACTGGTAGATTCAACCAGTTCTTCACTTGCAACTGCTACAAGATAGAGTTGAGCACACWGCAAAATTAGAATTGGTTAAGATTTTGAGTGACTGAAGTAGAGTGTTCATGGGAAAGGATGTGCMCTTGTTTTTAGTATGAGCAGAGRGGAACCTGATACAAAGAAAATCACCAAAGACCTAGAGATGAACTGAATAAATAAAGTTGTGTAAGGAACAGCTGAGAGGAGGGACAATTTTAGTCTTGCAGTATTGGTGTGCTCTGGCAGTGGCCACAAAAGGAAACTAAGAGGGATTGATTCTCCAGCCTGTGATCAGGGTTATGTTACGCTTCTCCCACTACCTATTCCAAACCTCTATTCCAAAAGACACTGGCATGAAATTAAATAACATATTCCAAACCTCTATTCCAAATCAAAAGGACCTCAAAATGTCAAATATTGTCTCTCCRTCGAGTTGAAAAAGTAACAGGATAYTTCAAAGTTTGTTAGGAAAGCCCAACATGCTGACGTGAAATGYATCATCTTTGGTAAGGCAGGAGGCAGAGACACAGTGCTATGAGCTGTTCACATATTACCCAGATGTGTCTGCAGATGTGCAGTTAAATTTGGAACTTTGGCACACCCAGGACAGCACCTCAAGTGATCTCTGATCCAGCAGAACTGTGCTGCTTCCAAGCGAAAGGCCATATGGGAGATGGTGTGGAGCTGATCTTGCTCGCACCTGTTGGTGAATCTGAGATTGTGGTGAGCAGAAGGCTCTGACCTGGAGGGCAGAGGGAAGTCCTCTCTTTCTACAGAAGTTTTGTGTGCTTGGAGTCTGCTGAGGAAATACTGCAGCAGAGATTCATCCCAAAGGYGGGAACAGAAGAGATCTGGCCAGTTCCAGGTACTGTCATGGCATGTGGAGAAAGGGATTGCAGGTTGCACACACAAGGAAAGAGGCTGGACAAATGGACCCATGGACATAAGAAACAGCCCGCCTAAGATATTAAGATMGAAATATGATAATTTCAGGCAACCAGTGAATGGACAAAGCAAAATAATAACCACAACACTCAGATTCCAAATTCAACGGAGCAAAGCCCTTTCTATTAATGTTTCTGTGGTAAAGCTTTATTTTTGTGTCAGCACACAAATCAGCCTTTCATTTCCTCAATTGCTAACTGGAACCACAGCAGTTCCTTGGTGATAACCCAGTGCTAGTCACCACAGAAAAGCATATATGAAACACAACTCTCAGTGCGTTCTGTGGCAGCTGGCACGTCTGTTCAGTGCCTACTGGGTCAGATCATATGGTTGAAGAAAAGGAAAAAAAAGGAAAAAATAGGAAATGTATGTTTATGGAACATAGTTCCAAATAAAAGTAGCGGATCTGTCATATGTGTGTACAGATCTTTGACTTCAAAGCAAATGTCACTCTCTACTTGGAAAAACAATTACAATAGGTAAATGAATAGGATGAAGAGCTTGTACTGAACTTCCTGATCCCCTTAATTTCCTCATATACTGGCTACAGACAGGGTGATTCTGTCTTGCTCTGTTATTTTTATCGTTGGTGCTTTGAAGCAGAAATAGAAATACCAGTGTCTTAAAAGGCATTCCTTTCTAAACAACTGATTTGTGCAAGAGGCATTTCATGCTACCAAAGTGTGATAAGCACTAAGAAGATTAATTTTAAAAGCTGACCTTTGAAGCACAAAGCTTCAGTTTTTGCTCAAAATTTTGTCCTTTAGGTTTGTTCTGGTGTTCCTCCTCTTGGCATGACTTTATCCTTGCCTCACTGTGGCTAAGGATGTGCTGTAAAACCAGGATAATCTTTGGTTTTCCTCTCACAAACATTGTGAAGTAGCCTATGTTGTTGCTGTGGGCATGAAATGGAATGAAAGGTGATGCTGTGGGATGCTGTGCTAACGATACATTAATTAGGAACAACAATGGAACTGTGTTTGATAACATCAGCTACTTCACCTAGTGATATCCACCCAGAGCAGTGTGTACATCAGATCACACAGAAATGTATCACTCCACAGCATCCTTTATCTGGCCACCAATTGCTATGTATGTTATTTAGGATGTTACCATTCTCTTGACAGGCAAGCTGACTAAAGAAAATGAACACACAGAAAGCTGTAGCCAACGCACTTGAACTGAGTTCTTGCTTCACCATTGAAAGAAATTGCAGTACTTTTTTCTATTGTTATTGTTGTTATTATTATTGTTATTTAATTATTACTTACCTAAGTTGATCCAGCGGTAGCCTACTAGGATACTTACAACACACAGTTGGGAAGAGAGAYACTGGTCGTATTTTGCCCAGATGTAGGAAAAAAATTCCATTGTCACCTGACCAGAACTGACTTGGATAGAAGTTTAATTTGCTCATGTGTTCTGTACAGAAATTCTGATTAAATTTTGTTTTGTCCTGTTCCTTCCCTGCTTCTTTTCCTCTTGTAGAGAAATACTTGATGCTGTAAGTTAAATGGAGAATATAGGTCTGAATTGAAAACATGCCAGAGTGGGTTGATTTTATGGTAATAATGAGTTCTGTAAAAGATGCCTTACCTACTGCTCCTTCCCAGCTCATCAGGATGCTCCCTCCCCTTCCCCCATACTTTTTCCAAATACAAAATTGCACGTGATCTAACTACACAGTTAAAGCAGCAGYTTTTGCTCAGCTCAGCAAGTCATGAATACTATCTGTAATAAAGCCAAAGGCTGTTTGCCCACACCACACACACTGGAAGTGCTGAAGAGCCAGATCTGGAGGCACAAAGAGGTGCTGGAAGCAGTTCAGTTAAAAGCCAAGGCCATAGAGAAGAAAAGAGCTTTCTCACTCTATTGACATGCAGAACATCCTGGCAGGCAGTCTAAAAAAGAATGAAGGAATGAAAGATTCCAGGCAGGGAGAAACCCAGACTGAGAAGTCTCAGCAGGGATTATTAGCGATTGCCTTGCTGCCTCGCTGCCCAGCTGCCATAATGATCAGGAGAAATAAAAAGAACAGAAAATGGAGCACAGACACTACTGGTTTTTGTTGGTTGTGGTTGTTTTTTCTTTCCTTTTCTCCTTTCATTTATTTTATTTTTTTCTGGCACTACACCATCTKAATTTCCTGTCTGTGGACAGGATTCCTGTGCAAATAGCCCTGTGCTATGAAGAGTTTCCTGAAAATAAGCTTTTYTCTTATTATTAAATAACTATCCATAGTTATTTAATTGCAGTAGATGCACTTGAATTTTAAAGAGATGTTCTTCAGAAATTACCTTGTATCTTGGTAAGCTTTTTACTGGTGCATTAGGAGACCAGAAAAARAAAATTAATTTTGTGTGAAAATATTAATTACACATCAGCAGTAAAAACTTACAGAATTTACAGAACAAGTTGTAGAGAAATCACTTGCATCTTTATACTAGCCATTGTATTCTTGTCATTATAGCAGGTTTTCCTTCTATATCATGGACTAGTCAGAGACTTTTGTGGCTTTCTTSAAAAAAGGAGGTGCCCTTACTTGGCCTCCCAGGACTTGTCTAAATTTGGATATTAAAAAAAAATAACCTGAATGAATTAAAAATATGAACTAAGACTGATCTGTTTTAGTCTCTGTGTTACATTTGGATGGAATGAAAAMAGGTTAACAAAGCACCATTCATCTGAATGGAATGAAAACATCTTAAATTTTAAATAGTGCTGCCCCTTAGAGATTTGAAGCAGTTTTAAAATAATCATAATTAGATAAAATTTTCCTGAGTCTTTCTGTAGTTAAAACCTTGTACGAGTAGTGCTCAGACTTTACGGCTAGACAGGCCATTTCTTTCTTGCCAGCATCTGACCTTTAGTTCCAGAAATGCTCACCTAAAATGTGCAGTGAGAGAGAGCAGGGAAATCACTAACATTCTCACACAAATACAGAATTTGTTAGTAAAAAGTGCCCAGTGACCATACAAAACAACTTTACACCATTCTGCAAGGGAGAGTAAAAATTTTCCAGCAGTCCCTGGAGATAATTCCTCCTGACTCTCAGTTTGGAAATCTGGTTGCTTCTTCACCTCATTCTCATGTTTTAGCATCAGAATACTTTTTTTAGCAAAAATTGCACTGTTCCAGGCCTTCTTCTATGTTGCAAGACAGAGCAAATAACTGAGAGCCAGTGTATTTTAACAGATTTTTTTAAGAGCTTCTAGACTTTAAATCTAAATTGAAATGTTTGCCCTTTTCTTAGAAATACTCTGGGGTCTGTAAGAGTCAGAACATCGGAGCAAGATGGGAAGGAAGCTGGATCACCAGAGCATATGCCACTAAATTGATCAAGATACATCCATTTCTGTGTCACCAGGCTTGCACAATTTCTGCAGTTCYATCATCATTTAACACATCTCCACGTTAGCTCACACTGGTGTTCTTTYACCTATGAACAGCCTTTCCTAATGACTTAATCAGAGAGGCTTAAGAAGCACAGAAAAGGTTTGTGTGTGTGTGCAATACTCTCTAAAGTGATCTGGACTATAGTGAGTGTGTTTCTGTCATCTTCAGATGGYTTCAGCTTGGGTAGAAGAGATCACAGGAACACAGGGAAGTGGAACACAGACAAAAGCTATGGAGAGCAGGAGAGAGGGGGAATGAACCAGTCAGAGGCAGCGTTGGGGCAGTCTGATAATCCTGAACAGCCTGATACAAGTTTTGTGTAGCTGAACCTTCCCCACTTCAGCCAATATACCCGAGAAGACTTGGCTGTGGATTGAGACAGTGAAAGCTTTTTGTTTCCACCGTCACGGCTGACACACACATCAAGACCCTGTTGGTGACTCTGACGCCTTCTGCTCGAGCTTGGGACCCCGGTGATTTTCCCCTCTCCGCAGTGAAGCGAGAGGTCCAGACCACCCAGAAGGAGGTCCCGGCAGGGGAGAGCCCTGCCCTAGAGATGCGGGAGCTGACGGGGACATCCGGAAGAGAGGACACCCAGCGAGAAGTGACACCGAACAGAAGTGACACGTGCCAGAAATGACACGGGCCACTGGTGACACCCGGTAGAAGTGATACCCAGTAGAGGTGACACCCGGCAGAAATAACATCCACTAGAGGTACCATGCGTCAGTGGTGACACCCGGCCGAAGTGACACGCGGCACAGGGGACACCCAGCAGAAGTGACACTTGGCAGAAGTGACACCCACTACAGGTGATAGCCGGCACTAGTGACACCGGGCAGATATGTCACCCGGGCTGAGGACAGCCTGGGAGAGCTGCGCTGCCCCTGCGGTTGTCCTGTGGCTCCCGATGGAGCGTCCGGGGACCGCWGAGTAGGAGTGAGGAGGAGCTCCGGCTGCGCAGCCCCTCTGCCCCGGGGGCCCTCCTGGGGCTCGGGATTTATTCCCGYATCTGCCTGCAGGGGCGGGTCGCCTCCCCGGTGTGCGGTGACCCCTCCGGCCATCTCCCCCTCCCCTCCTTCCTTGAGCATCCCTGTGCTGGCGGAGTCACATGTTTGGTCTTTGGTGCCTTTAATCCCACCCTCAGGGCCCGAGAGGGAGGAGAGAAATTCGCGGAAGAGAAGTGAGCCACACGCCGAGAGCAAGATCCCGGCGGGATCGGAGCTGCGTGCGGGAGGGAGGCAGGAGCGGCGTGCGAGGCTGCCTTAGCGGCTCGGGTAAATTCCCGCTCGGATCGGGTCAATCCCTCTCGGATCGGGTAAATCTCCCGCTCGGATCAGGCTGTCCCGGGGGGCTGCCTCCCCTTCTCCTACGGGGGATAAGGGGGCGGCGCAACGAGGCTGGGGAGCAGGGGAAGGAGGGCCACGAAGTTGTGGCTGATGAGCGGTCACAACTGCTCATCAGGGCTGGGCTTGGCTGCCGTGGCTGCCGCACTGGAGCCAACAGGGAAGTGGAAACCCTCCAGGGATCGAGGAGCTGTTTCTGTGCTTGCTCCGGGGATATGCCTATACATGGTGACGAGCAGCACAGGTGGCCAGAGCCCGGCCGGGCCTCAGCAAACGGCCCTTCTCTTAGGGCAGGTGAGTGGAACTCTTCAGGGAACCGGGAAAAGCCAGCCAGCTCCTGTCCTGTGCTTGGTGCCACCCAAAGAAGCCCTCCCCGAGGTAGAAGCGTAGCTAGAATCTCCCTGGTCTGAAGTCTGGGTGAGGAACTAGGACTGAGCATACTGAAATGCCATTTGTGTGCTGTCCTGCAAGGAGGGCAGAGAGTGGAGGTGGGATGAGCTTTTCTTATCTGACGCCCTCTCCTCTGTGACCATCACCACTGATGTAACTGCCATTAATCCCAGTGCTTTACGGGTCACCTTGTGCTACCTGGCACCTCTCCCGAAGGGAACGAGGACCACCTGAGAAACCCAGCGGCCGAAGCCACTGACATTTAGAATCAGAGGCTGTTGAGGGAATCTGCAGTTGTGCTGTGATGCAGCAAAACACGAAACTATGCTGATGTACACTACAGGTTCCTGGGCTGGCTCCTCTCCCGCAGTCATCGAGAAAATAATTTACGTGCAACCATAAAGGCACATCAGGTTCAGCAAGGAACTGTGCCTTTTGCAAGCACAAAAGCCAGGAGGAACATCCTCCTGCACATGTGAAATCTGCTGCTTTCTCCCCTGTCCAACAAGGGCAATACTAATTATGCCCCAGATTATTTCTCAGCTCCTGCATTTACCTCATTTTCTCCCCTTGGGGCTCAAGCAGATCACCATTATCGCCCAGAGCCAGGGCATTCCGTTTACTACGCCTTCTTATGCAGGATAAATACTCTGTTTCATACGTGGTGGGGGGAGGGGAGGAAGAGGGTGTATTCGTCAGGCACAAGTGCTGAATACAGAGAAGTCAGTAGTTCAACAATAGTAGAGAGCATCTCCTCAAAGAGGAATGCTTCTTATCGATATGACTAAACATTTTTCTTTTAGAGATTTGAATCACAATACGCTGGTCATTGCCTTTTACAGTTTTGCATTTTGATTGTTACATAGACCGGTCCCAACTGGAAATTTACAGCCTTATCATCAAAGGCCTTTGCTCACAAATATTCTGTTTCCTTATTCCTTTACTTTATTCTTCGCTGTCATAAACGAACAACAGTAAAGCTGCAACATCTGCAGTGTTACCAGCCGTCATCACATCTGTTTCCTTTCCTGTCCCTCTCCCTCCACAGATCCCTCCCATATCATGAGGGTAACAAAATAATGTTATTAATGATTATATGATAATAAAATTATATTTAATCAATTATTTAATGAGAAATAAATTGCAAATAGTGATTAAGGGATAACTGATAATGTAACAGTGATTTAACAATAATTCATAATTAAGCTAAAATGAAATGATGATTGAACTATGTTGTAGTTGATGATTTCAATAATGATTTAAACCATGATCAGACTCTGCTACTTAGTACATTTCTAAACCTAAAGCTGCTCATGGGGAGATCTCCACCAGGCCATGCAGGAAAGCTTTGTGGGCTCACAGGAATCTACAGGCCACAGTGACTGAGTTGCAGGTGACACCGTGTTGATGTCAGTGCAGGAGTGCAGCTTTAGCGGCTCCAGTTTTGTCTAATCTTGGCTCAGGCTCCTATAAGATATAGCCGAGATACCTGAATTCCTGGGAAGACAGGCCTGGTACAGTCACCGAATGGGTCAGCTTGGAAGGGTCATCTGGGCCCTTCTTCCTGCTCCAGCAGGGTCATCCCAGGGCCCGTTGCACAGGATTGTATTGAGGTTCTGAAATATCTCCAATGAGGGAGACTCCACAGCCTCTCTGGGCAATCTGTTCAGTGTCTGGTTGCTGCACAGGAAAGTTCTTCCTCATGTTCAAGTGGAACTTTCCAGGCATCAGTTCCTGCATCTTCCTCCTGTCCCACTGCTGGGTCACAGGGAGCCTGGTGCATGCTCTGACCTCTTCCTGCAGACACCGACAGGGATCAGGTCCCCTCCCAGCCATCTCATCTTGAGGCTGAGCAGCCCCAGCTGTCTCAGCCTTTTTTAATGGGAGAGATGCTTCAATCCCTTCATCATCTTCTGGAGCACAGGTAGTTTTTGCTCCAACCTTTCCAGTCAAAGGGAAGGGGGTTTGAAATCTTGCAAACCAACAAATGGTCACAGGACTGAATGCCACATGGTGTAGGATGGACCAGAGGATGTGCTTGGAGAACCCTGTTGGGGCTGCTGGGGTTCCTCTGAAATACGGAGGGAATTCCGGTGACAGGTTTGCCAAGTTGGTGAGAGCCTTAATCTAAAGTGTCTGTAGGAGAGGAACCTCAACCCAGTTTAAAGCCAGAGCCAGCAAGAGATGCCTTTAACGTGGAGAGCGATCACAGGTCAACAGGAGAGCACCCGAATGGCAGCACAAAGGAATTCCAGCCACTGTTGTGCCTTCATCAGAGTCCAGCTTACRGAATCCCCTGTGCAGAGGCATGGGGAATGAACACAGGGAGCTGGAGACACACCTTCAGGGCTGCCAGCGTCTGGGCATTGTGGCAGTGTGCTGGGATGGCTCCTGGGACTGCAGTGGTGGAACGGAAGGATACAGAGTCTTTTGCAAGAGCGGGTCTGGGAGATGAAGAGGGGTCATCCTCCATGTCATTGACCAGCTGGAGTGAATGGAGCTCTGCCTGGGGATGGATGAGGAGCTGTCCAGGAGATGATAGATCATGACTAAGGGAGGACAGGGACAGGTCACTTTACTGTGGGGGTCTGCTACAGGCCTCCCCACCAGGAGGACTGAGTAGATGAGTGGCTCTATAGACAGATAGGAGCGACCTCATGATCACAAGCCCTGGTTCTACCCAGGGCAGTGTAGAACCATCTGTCACACCTACCAAAATCACAGACAGCTCCTCACAATATTAATTACCTTAAGTCTCTGTGTTTAGGTATTACCTTGCAGAATTCTCTTCTTCAGGCTGCTCTCCATTCCCACTTCACCTGATCTACCTGACTGCTTGGTAGCAGCAGAAGGAGCATTGCTTTCCCCTGGGATTGCCCTGCAGGGAGGCAGCCAGGTGAAAGACAGCAGGTGTTGAGAATGGCTCAGGTTTATGGGGCAGAGGAAGATTAATATATATGAGAATCAAGGCACAAGTTGGGGAAATAACTGTAGTTAACACGCATTGAGTTCACAGCCTCTTTCCCTGGTGGCATAGTCTTATCATCTTAGTTTGAATGAAATGAAGTACCACATTCATTCAGCTGCCACACCMATGTCCCTGCTTTCTTAGTTCAGTGGCTTTCAAACTTTGTATCATGGATTTCTAGGGGTTTATGAATGACTTCTAAAAGGTAACTACAGTCCAATGAGAATAGCAAGCCAGATTATCACTAAATTTACATTCAAATTTTAATTCTTCAGTTGCTGGTGTTACCTAAGTGGACAAGGTTACACCTGTACCTCTCTGCGTTTTTACTGTTCTAATAGTGCCTAAATTCAATCTCCTTGGACAGAAGATGTCTGTACATTCACCGACAGCAGTGCCTTTAATTTCTTTCTCATGCACCACATAATTTTAGCAAGGGTCCAAGTTCTCTGCCCCTCTCGAGCCACCTCCCTTACTGTCATTAACCTGTTAGACTGTGACAGTGTTACACCTTTAGTACACAGACCATAAGAAAAAAGAGTTCTAAGGGAGCTGAGAGATAAAGTGCAGCAGCCCTAATCTTTGCCTGGTTTATCTGACATTCTGCAATCTATATCACCTACAAACAACATAAAGACAATTGCTTTTAGCAGTGCTTGAGGAGGTGAGAAATACTTGGTACCTGCCAGTAAAATGCAATCAAAGAACAACTACTGGTCTCTTACCATTAAGGTTCCTCTGTTTTTAGCAGCACAGCTCTTTCTAAATGGTTTGTGTTTTCTAGGGAACCCAACTTCTCATTTTGGCACTGAAGTGCAATGGTCAGGTCCGCGGATGGTCAGAAGCTTGGCTTCTACTGGGCACTGCTGTTGTCAAGGCRGGCCTGACATATTGCAGAAATATTATCTGACACCTGACCYAGTAAAAGCTGTCAGAAAACAAGAGGAATTGCAGATGAGAAAAGTTGGCCATATGGCCCAGTAGTAGGGATCAGCTCATGGCACGGACCTCAGATTTTGGAATTTGAGGATGTCTGTACATTCAGCTGTCAGCATGCATGTGTGTGAAGGAGGAGATCCCTGTGACTCCTTGAGAACCTCTATCAGCTTCCTCAGATTCCAGCAGGATGTTTGTCACAGCACGACAAAGGCCTTGTCTCTGCCAGAGAGGTTCCTCAGCAGAGGAGCTGGTCCTCAGCTGGCAGCTCGTCTGCACAGTGTGAGGCTGGGAGCACAGAAAAGCTTTTCACACACAGGGTCCAGCCTGGGGTGCTGCGATGATCAGCACATGAGGGAAAGGTGCCACTTCTGTGAGCACTGCTACGCCTGCCACTGCTATGGCCCGCCTGGGGATGGTGACAGCCAGACTTTCTGTGACATTTTCCAAGAGTCTGCCTTTGTTTCCCAGAGATGACTGTATGGCTCTGACCACTTGACTTCATCTAGCAGTTTTTGTGTTAGGAAAGGAATGGCTTTTCCTACTGACACTGAGAAGTGTGGGTAGGCAAAAAGGAGTCATTTAACACTGTAATTGTAAAGGAATAGTTGTGTTCTTGTGTCACAGAGCAGGAAGTAGAAGGCAGATGCTCTCTCTTACATCAACTATCCAGGAACCTAAAACTTTGCAGCTTTGAAACATGTGGGGAACTTTGTTCAGGAGCACCTGCTTGCAGGAATATCTCTGTGGAGAGGAGTTTGGAGCAGACAGAAAACCAGCTTTCTGTTTTAAAGCACAAGCACAGCAGGCAGTGCTGCGCACCCCCAAAAGTACTTACTAATTTTTCTACTTTTCCTTAGTGTGCGAAGAGGTGACTTTTTCCTGAGCAGTGTAGTTCAGCCAAGTAATTAGTGGACATTAATGGACATATGATGCAGATTTGGAATTAGGTGTTTCTAGAAGGAATCTTCATCATGAGGATCTAAGAAAAGAAACAAGCCACATCTARTTGTTTCTTTAAAGCTTCATATCACCACAGGGTGTAGTTGTGTTTAAGCAATGGCTCAGTTCTGCACAGAACATGTATAAATCTGGCCTCTGCAAGTATTTATATGGTTGCAAAGTAGTTACTATTCAGGTTTAATAAAGTGAGGGTTTTAAAGGCACTATAAAATCCAATGCTGATTCTTGCTTTTCTCCTCAAACTTCAGTATTTTTCCTGTCTGAAATACTCCTTACTTAAAGAAGAATAAACAAGATGTTTTTCTTTCTAGAAAGGGAGAAAAGTGAAAATGGTAATACAAACAGCTTCTGAAAACAGCGTGTCTTCTCAGAAGTCAGAACCATCCTAATGGCTAGAAAACAGCCTGAGCAGAAGCTCTGGATTCAAATCCTGCAGATAAGTGCAAGCTTCACTCTGTAGAGGTAAGAAGTTTTTTATCTATATTTTGAACTCTCAGGTTCCCAGTGTTGCAGATGAAAGGTGGGAAGGAGATCAGTCTTTTCCTCTCTTCTAGATTCTTCAGAAGAAAGGCAAGAGACTTTTTTCACATTAACTTCAATATTTGACCTGCTTTAATACACCCCTGACCATTTTTAGCCTCTGTGGTTATTTATCTGCCCAGTGAAAACAGCCTTTTCCCTGCAGATACAGTGACAGAGTGTGGCCGTCAATGTGTGTGTGAAAAGCTCGGGCAGCAGAGAAAGATGTGAGGAGAAGCAGAAGTGTCTGTGTGTGGTTGCTGTTTCCTTGAGGCTCCCCGAGTTGCAGAGCCAGAACAACAGCTCTAAGATCTTGAATTCTGCTGCTGATGAAGTGAAGCCGGGAAGTTATAATGCTTGGTACTACCACACAGTGACCTTCACGGGTGGCTTCCAGTCCTGCATGCTTTTCCAGGGGAAGCTGGAGCCAGGAGATATCTCCAGGGAGGGTGGTGCTCCCCTGCACCACCTGACCGACCCTGCCCTGAGCCAGGAACTGGGACACCGGCAGGTGGAGTCCCTGCACCACTTTCCCAGCACTGTCAAGCTTTGGATTTGGTGTGAGTCCAACTGCAAGGGACCTGGTACATGACCCTCGAACAACATGGGTTGCAGAAGAACAAGAGGTCAGGTTAGAACTTTTTTGATTCATCTCATGAGGCCGCTGCCTGCCAGGGAGGACAGGAAACTAATTTTCTTCTCTTCAGTAGAAGATAGTGTGAGGCAAGGAGGCCTCCTCCTTCAGTGAGCATCGTCGTGACAATCATAGAATGGTTTGGGTTGGAAGGGACCTTGAAGACCAGCCAGTTCCAACCTCACTGCCAGATGCCCCTCAGAGACCAGATTGTTCCAAGAATTAATTAAGAAATGGGCAAAGAATTATTATTCGTGCTTCAATATATCCCAAGAGCTCACTGCCAGCTCATAGGTTTTATAGCTCAGAGCTTCAGCATAGCTGGCAGATGGAAAGGAAACTTTTTTACTCCTTGAAAACTAAACTATCTTCTAGCTTTCCTTCATCTTGTTTTCCCACTCTGGTCCTCACTTTCAAATTTGGAGGCTGGCTCAGAGACAGTGCCCACAATGATGCTCATATCAAGACAATGCCCAGCAACATATGATTCTGCATCTTTGTGTTCTCTTAATGCTTGTGACGGTTAGCTGGAAAGCCCAGGATTTTGGATGAATAAATGCATTTAAATGCCAGGTCTTTGCTTCTGATGGATCTCAGATCTTCACATYCTGAATCCTGAGGACTTGGATCTAGCAGCTGAAGTGCAGCCATCACCCTTAAGGCCTTTACAAGGTCCACTGATGTAACCCAGTGTTTGTGAAACACGGTTGTGTAATTGGAAAGAAAAAGAAAACTGTATGGGAAGAAACTGCAGACTCTCATGCATCAGCATGTAAATCTGTTGTTATTTAATTACTGCACATCTTGTCTTGAGCCCTAAGAGAGCACAACATTGATGTCACAGTCTATCTCAGAATGGTTTGAGAACTTGCAGTATGAACTCTCTGGTCTCTCACAACTGTTTGGAATAACTCTTGTATATTTTAAATTAATTTTGTTAAAAGGACTTTCAAGGTTGTCACATTCCCATATGGCAACAGGAAATGGTTCTCTTAATGGTAAAAAAAGCAAATCTGTGACTACAGAAGGCAGTTTTGAAGGACCCTCAGATCCAGACCCTGATCCGTTCCTCCAAATTATTTCTTGTACAAGATTCATTTTTCTGAGAGTAGAAAAGCCATGATTTTTTTCCATCCACCCAACTTTCCTTAGTCTGCTTCAGGTGACAGTGCAGAGAAGGACAAAGAGAAGTGTTTAGGTCTAGGAGCACCATTTGATGATCAGAACTTGCTGAAGGCAAAAGGTTAAAAATTGGAGAAACTCCAATTTAACAATGCACCAGCACATTCAGTCACCTTAACAAGGGGAACATGAGTAACTCAGTTCTTAGGGAGAGGAAATCAGAAATCAAAGGGAGAATGAAACAGATTAAAAACAATATTTCTGATATAAGAGAATTCATCTCAACAGCCTAATTGCCCTGATTTTGTGTAAGTGTCTGTCAGCCATGTTGTAAGGTGTTCAGGGCAGCCACAGAAGTCAATATGGCAAAATCTAACTTTTGTGAAGGTGGATGTTTGTTTAAAGTGAATGTGTATACAAAAAAAAAGTCCATATTTATATAAATACATCAGTTTAAACTAAAGGCATATACTTTTAAATTGCATACTTCTAAATAAGAAATACGGGTCAATGGCTCAATTACAACTGTTAATCTTGCTGTACCCATGTATTTCACAGGGTCTAGTCTCCTCTGAGAGAGGAGGAGACATCTGAGAGAGACATACGCATTACCCTTAGCATATGCAGGCCCTTAGTGAAGTAAATTGGTGTCTTTGTTATCTGGCTTCACACTCTTGGTAGAAGAGTGAAAAAACACACGTTTGGAAGTATGTGAACAGCAAGTAGGAAGCATGTGTGATTCCAGAGAGGTAAAAGTTTGTCTCTCCAGTATGTGCTAGACTAAGACACAAGCGATCTGGTTGTGCCTCTTGGCTGTGATCTAAGCATTGCTGTGTAACTGTTACTAGACAGTGGTACCTGGGTTCTGTGCTTCTAACAGAAGGGGATTTCCACACACCCTGCATCTGCCTTTCCTTGTGTTACTTTCCTGTTTGTTACTGTGTTTACCTGAAGCACAGTAACAAACACACAAAGTCCTTTCCAACTCAGGTCAGAGCTCCTATGTGTTAAAAAGGCCTTAGGGGTCCTTTCTTAGAACTAAGTTTGGCTTATCTATTTTCAACTTCCAGGACTATTTCGTGATGCCTCCATCACAAGGGATTGCATAGGGGCCTTGTATTTTGGCCTAATCAGTGAGTAGCCCCCTGCTTTCAATTCTCTCTGTCAATTCCCGTTTCAGTAACCATCCTTTTTTCTTCATTTTTAGCCTTGCACAACTTGTACAGGTTTCACAGCAATGGCCCCAGTGGTACCTTGCAGTGCAGGGAGAAGGATCCAGTGGGAGTGAAGGACTGAGGGCATGTGCAGCACAAGAGTGCCTTCCTTCTGAAGCAGTTATGTTACACCAAACATGGCAGCTCTGTGGGAAGTGGTGCCGTCGGTCCAGCCCTTTCATCCATCTCCTCACCCTGACTGTGCTGACTTTTGGTGTGCTGGCACCTTTGATCTGCCACCGTCTCCTCCACTCCTACTTCTACTTGCGGCGCTGGCACCTGAACTCCATGAGCCAGGAGTTCCTGGAGCAGAACCAGCAGGAGGGCCAGGCTGCCCTCCATTACTTTGAGACAATGCAGATGCCAAATGCCTCCGAGGCCTCCAGCAGCGATGCCTTTCAGCCCTTGCTGCTGATCACCATTATCACCGTACAGAGGCGGAATGATTTCCACTATGTCTTGCAAGTGGCCTCCCACTTCCACCGGCTCCTCCAGCAGTGTGGCGCACGTTGCCGGAGCCACCAGGTGCTCCTCTGTAATGTGGAGTCAGACCCCAGCAGCCATCAAGATGTCAGGCTGCTGAGTAGCTTCTTTCCTATGGTCAGTCGTGGCAGACCTGGGGAGAACCCTGACCCCAGCCTGAATCTGTTCGAGAAGGAGAAGCAGGACTACATCTTCTGCCTAGAGCAGTCACTGTTGGCATACAACCCAGAGTATGTCCTCCTTGTGGAAGATGATGCCGTGCCAGAGGACGAGATATTTTCTGTCTTGCAGCACCTCTTCTCGGCCCGATTCTCCAAGCCCTACCTCAGAGATGCGCTTTACTTCAAGCTGTACCACCCCGAGAGGCTCCAGCACTACTTCAACCCTGAGCCCATGCGGATCTTGGAGTGGCTGGGCCTAGGGCTGTTCCTGGGGCCGGTGCTGACCTGCGCCTACTGCYGGGCSGCGGGGCGGGCRGGYCCYAGCTGGGGGCTGGTGGCGTTYTTYGCCCTGTACAGCATGGCKYTGTCGGAGCTGGTGGGGCGGCACTAYGGGCTGGAGCTGCGCCGCCTGCACCCCGCGCTCTACAACGTGGTGCCGGCCAGCGAGTGCTGCACGCCTGCCATGCTCTTCCCCGCCTCCTCCGCCCGCCGCGCCTCGGGTTACCTGCGGGAAATGCGCTGCCGCCGGGGCTTCGCCAAGGACACGGCCCTCTACTCGCTGCTGCGGGGCAGGGGCGAGAACGCCTTCGTGGTGGAGCCCAACTTGGTGCGGCATGTGGGAATGTACTCCAGCCTCCGGCTGAACAGCAACCCCAAGCTGCTGTGAGCTGCTCGTGCCTTGCTGCACAAAAACAGTCCAGGGAAGCGGCCACAGGGCAGAGGAACGGAGTGTAAACTCGGATTCTGTGTTGCTTGCACTGGGTATCCTGTGCCTCACTGTCTTTGAAAAGACAAGTTTTCTTAAAAAATCAGCTTTTGTACCTACAGACCCTATTTAATATAAACTTGGAACTAATCACCATGCACCACCTGGGAGGGGAGTGGAGGATTCCAGCTKAAAGTGTGGATTCCCCATTCTCTTTAGCTGTTCCCAAAGAAAAGCTCTCACGTCAATATGCACAGCTTTCCTGCCTACTTTCCTGTACACTCGAGGTTACAAAACTCATCTTAGGGCAGCAGAAAAGTTGGACAAAGTGAATGTTTCAAATTTAAGCTAATGAGGAGGGGAAGTCTTTATTTCCCCATCCTTACCAAGGTCTGATCTCTGACCTGTCTCTGTTTCAAAGTTGTGGTTTTAAGCAGACCCTTCAAAAGAAGCAGAAGTGGTTTGCAGGAACTTTCCCACAATTTTCTGCCTAGGTACTTCGAATTTATGAAATCTCTTTAGTTATTATCTCCCTATCTGCACCTCCACTGTTCCCACTTTTTTTTGCTCGGACCACAGGCTCTTAAAAACCTCTGCTGCTTCATTAAATACAACCTCTGAGGGTAGGAATAGGAAAACAGAATCACAGCCATTAATATCACAAAGATGGGTCAGAAATGCACATTTTCATTGATATGGGACACCCATTGTACACAATGATTGCTGTGTTGTTTGGATAGCTGTAGTGGATCTGTTAAATGAGGTCAGATCAGTCACTGATTGAACTTAGGTGTTCAACGTGAAATTACCATGACTTTCCCTCAGCACAGGTTCAAAAGAAATATTAGACTACTGCTGTTGTGCAGGATCCTTGTTCATTTTGGAGCTGCATTTACAGCTCAGCTGGAGTGGTTCATTCACTGCTCCTGGCAGAAAGCAAAATACCTGTGGGAAACAAAGACAGCTGTTCACAAGAGCGAACAGGAGCACAGCACATCAAGGGGCCACTCTGATAGTGACCTATTGGGACTTTGTGTACTGGTTGTCAGGCATCTGGGATAGGTACTTTGCACCAGGGCTGTGGGCACAGTTAAATGTAAAACCATGCAGAACAGGAAATCTCATACAGAATGAAAACAGGCAAAAGAGGGGTATATTTGATGAAAAGCCTACCAAGGTTGGCTTTAGTGGGTTTTGAGTCAAATTCAAAATAATTCAAATTCTTGTATGTGGAGTTTGGTCGAACTATTTTTAAAACCATATTCCTTGCTTGGGAATGAACCAAGCGCAATATTTTTTGTCGAGTTTAGTCGGTGGGATTATTTTTTTTTTTTAATTTTTTGGTAATAGAAGGGCTCTGCTGTGAATTTTCTTCCCCCAGGTCTCTCCCAGGTGACTTATGCCTTAAGCTCTTAACAAGTATGATTATAGGTGAGAAACATGTAACACTCCTGAGAGATGAAACCAAAGAAAATGACAACCCCCCCTCTGTCATCACAATGGGTATCAGTTATCCAGCACAAAGGCACAGTGCAGCTTTATGAGAAATAGCATCACAGCAGTGCTTTGCTCTCCAGTAATCAGCTGGGTGCTTTTAGAACAGCTTTGGAAATCAGAGTGAGTAAAAACTGCTTGTGGATTCCATGCCATTCCAAAGGCAAGGCCTTTAGACCTCCTGGCAGAGGACACCAGAAAAATGGCATGGGTAAAACCACATTTTGTTCCCAGCTGCTGAAAGCCCTGGAGATACCAGGGCAGTCACACAGTGGCAGGTGGGCAAATCTCTCCTCTGGCTTCACTGCAGTGGGATTTGGGTGTCAGGATTTGAGTGTCATTGTACATTTATTCCACTCAGTGCCTGCACATACAACTGGTTTCTGCGTTTTCAGCTGTGAATGTAACAGTGCATGGGCTTATTCTTCACTCTGTCTTAGTACTATACAAATACAGGACAGTGCCCTGTTCTTTTCATGGTGGTCTTTTTATATTCATTCTTGCAAAGAAAATCTCTCAGCCATGTACAATAAATGCGACAGGGAATGGAAAAAGGAAGAGGGGAAAAAAATAAAGAAGCCCTAGAAAGGAAACCAACTAACTATATCAAGTTAATAAATGTTTTGGTGTGGGAAATGATTTATCCATTTGTCTTGAAGTTACTTTGTTGTTTGTCCAGTAGTACTTTGTCATCCCAGAAGTCCAGGGGAGGTCAATAAGTTCACTGAGCTTCATAGCTGAAAATCAAGAACACTATTTTGAGGCATCCGTTCTAAACTAGAAGACAATTTTCACGGCGTAAGAGATGAAACAATTGGAGTGTGGGACCAAGCAATGTGTAGAGGGTCCAGGGCTTGAACTTGCCAATGTAGCAGTTTCAGATAAATGACTTGAGAACAAACTCCTTTGTACAAGAAGCAGATTCATAAATTCTTTATATCCTTCTGGAACAACTTTATTAAGTGCACAATTCCGCAACAGAGGTGCTGCTTTACTGAGACCGCAGGGAACTGTTCTGAGTTTATTCAGGTACTTGCACAGTGCCCACCCTGCCACTGGGCCATCCCAGACAGGGGCTCCTGCTGCTGCTGCCTCTGACCTTTGCCAAGCAGATTGAGTCTTGTTTTTCTTTTCTGTACTGCATGTTTTATTAGAAATTAGAAGTCAGAGAATTGCAGAACAAAGAATGGAGGCTACTGTGAGTTCTTAATTCCTGTTGGATTTTGTCCAAAGTTCAGGCTAAAAAGGCAGTTTCAAACACCCAAAAGCCCTTCCCCTCTCTTTTCTCCCAGGGGAGTGTAGCTGAGTTGCTTTATCTCAGACTACAGAAGTTCAAAACATGGCATAATCTTGACATGTGGCCTTAAGAGCTTTGTTTCATTCACTTCAAAACAAACTTAGTGGTGATTTTTGAAACAGACAATATGGATTTTCTTGGGTGTTAGTTCATTCGCAGTTTGGAGACTATTTTTCAATGCAGTGACTATTGCTTGCACAAGAGGAGTCTTTCTTGATGGGCCAGCAGAAGGACCCAAGGCTTTTTTATCCCAGACAGTTCACGGGGAATTATTAACTTAAACAAAAGCTTAGTTTGTTTCCAAGGCATGTCCAACATAAGCATGATTCCTGCAGAGCACAGGGCATAAACTGACACGTCTCTACTTGATTAGAAGCCCAAGATAATTTTCTAACTCCTGCAAGTGTCAATGTCTAATTGAGAGAGCACTGCTTTGAAGAGAGAAGGGAAAAAAATCTTCCTTCCTGTGGTGAGGAGCTGTGAATCACCAGATTGGGTATTTCAGCAGCAATTTGTCTGGATACAGGCTGCTGCATTACTTTTTTTTTTCTTTTTAAATTAAGTTATGTACAAGCAAACCTTGTACAAAATAAACAACCTTTCTATAAAAACTGTTAACAGTCTCTTCTTTATGTGTGCTACTGTTTGTTTTTTCTGAAAGGCACATCCGTCTTTCATTACCATATTTGACAAAAAAAGATACTCCCATGTTTATGGATCTGCACAGATGTAATGATTTTGATCCAACCCCACTGACAGCAGATCTTACTAGATCAGGTTTTTCAGGCCCTTCTCCAGTCAAGAACTGAGGAATTTTAGCAGGGACCTGAGGTAAAATCAAGCTCTGAGTGATGGAACGTAACCTTGGCTCGCTTTTGTATTGAGAGGTTACATATTTCACAAAATAAAAAAGGTAATTTTGTGTGGGGAACAGCTGTAGTTACAAAGGTGTTGGCAGTTTCCCTCCCAAAGTCAGAGTTTTGTGTATTTCCACACCAGCTTTACAGACATCGTATCCAAATTCAGCAGACGGCAGGGTCCAACATGAGGTTCCAAATAATCTTCAGTAAAACACACATCTGCCAAAAATGCATAATTAGGTATTCCATGGTCTGTGCTTCTTCACTGCATGTATCCCTGCTGGAATAACTTCATTTCCACAGATTACCTGTGCCTGATGATTTTTGCCTTTCCTTTTTATGTACCCTTTTATACCCTTTAAGACATTTTCTGTACCCTTTAGGTATCCCTTGTACCCCTTAGCCTGCATGCTTTTAATTCCTGTAGCCTGATATCCTGTAGTTTAGTTTAGGAGTTCTGCTGGGCAGAGAGACCAAACATCCTGAGGAAAGGGTTAGTGAGCCCTGTGCTATCTTAAACCTGAGGCCCCAGCCTTGGGTGAAGCCTTCTCTCTGGAACATCTTGTGTAGACTGGGCTCTGGCCTCATTCCCCAGAGGGATTCATTAGAGCAGGGGGACATTACTGTCTTCATTAAGTTTCTTACTGGGGAATCCTAGATAGATAGGCTAAATTGTGAAGTCTATGAAACCTGTATCCATGCTATACACAGGTGTACATTCTGCCATCAAGTTGTGCACCTGGGATCCCAAATACTGAGGTAAAACCCTTTTTATCCCCTTAACCATGTCTGTGTCATTATTAAAAACTGGCCATTCGAGGCAACACTGACAGCTTTTGGAGAATCTACCCCATCATTTTATCCATACAGCTCTTGAGCTAAGGATCACCAAGATCAGTGTCCCTTTCCAGACTTTGTTCTTCATGGCAACCTAGGAATGCCACGTTCCCAGCTGTAGAAGGGGCAGTGATTTTTAAATGTCGATGAAGAGTTACCTTTTATTGTTCTGTTTGTAAGCCTTTGGGCAGCTGTGCCTACTTTCTCCTAGAATTTCTTCCTTGGTGTCCAGTGTTCCTGCAGCAGTCCAGAAGCCACATCTACAGTGGTCTTTCCAGCAAGCTGCTCCACCTCAGACATCTTGGTGTGGTTTGCATTCCGCAAACTTAATGCAAATAGTAACATGCATCACCCAATTGTGCTTTTTTGGGGGACTGTGTGCTACTGCGATAAATAGGTAATAAACAGTTAAATGTCTCCCTTTATAAAAGCCAGTTGTTTGCCTTCTTTCTTATTTAAAAACAAAATGCCGAAAGAAAGGCACAGAGACCTGTGTCGTTACAGCATTTACCCTCAAGTCCTGTTACAGCTGTTCCTCACAGCCCAGAAAAGTTGCCACAGGCACTCAATTTAAAGTTGTATCCTTGTTTGCTATCCCCACTATTGAAATTATTGCAAAGATTTGTGTTTTGATAACAATAGTGTTGTGTGCTTGCCTGTTTTTCATTCCAAGCCATGGTGTTTGTTGCAGTCCAGGTTTAAGTTAAGCAGAATTCAGAGCAAAGCAAACCTTCCCTTGTGCAATCCACTTGGTGGGCCTGAGTCTGTTCTGCCCAACACCCCGCAGCCCCCCCGATGTACGTGTCTGTGGACCCTGCAACGGAGCCAAAAATACAGGGGGATTTCTGCCAGTGGGGTTAAACAGCCAGGCTGTTCACATTGGAGGATGAGGGCTGTAAGTGACTGGGAAAAACAAACCACTTAATAAACAATACCTCTGATTAGATAGGGATGAACAAGCTGGACTTTGAGACTGTTAAGCAAGACTGCAGAGTACAGAAAACAGGAAACATCCAGCACAGTGTGGAGAGGTGGGCAGGAGGCAGACTCCACTCTGTTTGAGCCTGCTCAGATTAGACTTTAACCTCATCACGCAGGCAGCAGCCCCTTGGGGCTACAGAGCCAGGTGTTTTTTATGTGGATGCATATTATTCTTGGACATCCTTCCAACTCCCAGTGTTTTTTTCCATTCCATTTCAATCCATTTTACAGGTCGAACCACATCCAAAAGTAGTATTTAATTTACTTAAGTGCAGAGGCAAGCTGTAAGTTTTTAATTTTTCTCTTGGTGACCATGTAATCTCTGAAGTTGCTTCATCCATTTCTTTCTTTTTCATTGTTCTTTCACAGGTGTGCTACAATTTGTACAATTTGTCTCTCCTCATATTTACTTTTTTATTTTAAATGCTAGTTGATTTGAGTAGTTAAAGGCAAAACATTATCCAAATTACACAGCTAGAAACAGACAGAAAAAAAATCACCATCTGGAAAGTCATAAGCAATTAAAATACTTTTATCTGTTGCCTTTAAAACAGGCTTTCCATTGATTTTAATGTACTTTATCCAGCAAGACTTCACTTTAAACTTCAGTGCATAACTGGCAAGGCTGGATATAACACTTACAATTAATATAATTTCTACTACAAAAATCCTGTCCTTGCATTGTCAAACCCCCAAAAGCAAATCCACAAATTAAGAGCTAAGTAATAACCCATGTCACATGCAAATACAGTTTTCAGTGGTCCTTAATATTTTTAAATGCATACTTCTGTCAACTTTGTATGGTAAGTTCAGATAGAAAAGTTGACACCAGCAAAATCTCTAAGCCATTCAAATAGAAAATCCACTTTTTTGAGAGGAAATGTTAAACACTTGTGTTTCATCACTGCCGATCTCTTTTATGGCTAATTACCACTTTCTGTTTATATGCTATAAAAGGCACAACAATGAACATGTAACTAGTTATGCATGTCGTTTGCAGTGATGTTTCAAACACAGATTTGAGTGAGGTATAAAGATTTTTACATTGCAAGACTGTTTATATCAGCTTTCTCATGAACATATAAAAAACCCATAACCTGTGCAGAAAACTCTCAGTCATTATATTTAGTTAAATATGTATTTATGCAATCAATTATCAGACATCCAAAACTCAAAAACAGCTAGTAATCCTTTCTCTAACAAAAGATTATACTCTTCATTAAAAAAGTGGTCAGCAATCACTACAGTGGTCTGCATGATCATTTTTAAGAATGCAAAAAACTGAGGGTAGTTGCTCTTTAGTGCACTTGACTTCCCCTCTTGTTCACCCAATCCTTGTCCTTGCCTGGGAGGAATCTTTTTCCTATGTCCTCCTTCCCATGCCAGAAGCAGAGGGGGATGAAGAACCCCAGGAATGCAGAGAGATGGTTCTGCCTTTGAAACTGATCTACTGGGAACTCTGCCTTCACACTGAAAAGGTGTGAGAGTTGGCAGTTCTGTGTTCAAACACTACCTCCATGAGACAGAATTACAACTTGGATAATACAATTTTGCCATGGAATAGTTAGTGCAGGCAGTGATTTGATACTTTTTATGGGCAAAGTAAGTTCTTTGGTTAAATGCAAATACACTGCATTCCCCTCATGATGAAAGCTTTTCCCTCTTATTATTTAAGGACACACGAGACCACTAAAATGTAATTTTAAGAGGAAAAATACCCCTGAAATATGATTATGTCTGATGCAAATACATACTCTTTTCCAGTGTCATTTTAATATCACTGTAATTTCTGCACAGTATGGTCAGTGTGATGCGTTTGCATGCCAGCACCTTAGAGTGACATCATCTACCCTGATTCCTCATTCCACATTTTCCTGCCTGAAAAGGCTCCCATTGCCAAATAAAGTGAAAAAGTTTACCATCATCTCCATTCACCTTTTTATCTCCTCTGTCCTCAAAATCTCTGTGAGGACCTGCAGTCCTAGTGCATGGAATGCTGGATGTTGAGTTAGAAGGCCTAGAAAAGCATATGCCAGCAATTATCTACTCGGAAATACTTTTATATACTTATGAAAGAATTAAGAATGCAAGGTGGGCTGCAAAGGATTATTTAAAGTGGTATCTAAATGTCTGACATTTTTTTTCAAGGAGACTCCCACAGCTTTTGTCTAATAGCCTGTCAGACCATATCCCAGATGAGACTGGGAATAAAACACTTCCAGCTACTTCCCTGCTGAGTCAGTTTCTAGCCAAACCAGGAATGACAGCACTCAAACTCTGATTTAGAAGAAGACCACCAGTATGACACCTTCTTGGTCTCAAGAGGGTCTTAGATAATGTATGTCATTAAAAGTATTTGTAACCTATATTAGATGTCTCTGTTGTGGTGGAGAAACTTTCATACACCACAGGTTCGTCTTTCTGCTAGGACGGGAGAAATGGAATGTAAAGCAAACTCTGTAAAGCAGGAAAGGGTTTATGTCCATGTTATGTGCACAGCATTCTTTAGCAAAAAAATGAGGATCAGAAAGGGCAATGTGAAATTAAGAGGAAGAGAGGCACAAGGCCTTCGACTGGACTACATTCTCAGCTCTTTCAGAGGTTTCTATGCTGACTATAAGCCTGGCAGGTTACTAAGATGTCCTACAAGCACTGACCTTGGCACACGGCTGTGCAAGAGAGGCTCAAGAAGGAAGTGGGCTAAGGAAGGCAGTGTTGCAGAGGAGAAATCAGGTATCTCACGATGTCCATGTAAAGGCTAAAGGGGGCACTACAGAAGCCAAACAAACGGAGAAACGACGTCATTCTTCAGGCAAACACGGGTCTTTGTGGTAAAAAAAAAGTGCCAATGTCCAAGGCTGCAGAGGGCGTTGTTCCTGGGGGTATGATGTTTGTCTAACAGTCCCTGTGCTGTCTTTCCCTCGAGGAGTACTGGCCTGCAGGATAGGGAGAAAGAAAATAAATAATCAAATCTATCAACCTGGGCTTTGAGAATGGCTGTAGTGATGTTTCATGTCAACTGCMGTACTAATGCACTGTTTACACAGGATCTGTATTTTTCACAGAAAAATTTTGCTAAGCAGCAAAGAAGTTTGTATGTCATGGCAATATGGGCATCTCAGTGGGATTTTGGGAGAAAATCTGGTTTGCAGCTGTGAACCTCAGTGTAAGCATGTTCTGTCTAATAACCATTAGTTTCACACATACAGAGTGTTACAAGACAGCAGAACTTGCTGTTTCATTAATCCTGACATTGTAGCATTGCATTTTGCTTTTCCATGTACAAACTGGAAAARCAAAATATGTTTCCATGCTAGACTTTCCAGTGAGTGAAAGCAGTGTAACACTTAAGAAGCCACTGAAATGATACCAACTCATGCCATTTAAGGATCTGTTGCATTGTTTCTGCATTTTGTTTTCTGCTCTTCCTGCAGTTTCCTAAGTATAAGCTTTGAGAAGATCTAACCCTAAATGATAAAGTTGTGCCCAAGATACCTGTAAGCAATTTCCATGGTTTCTCTGGTAATTCTTTTTGGTCTCTTTTAGAAAGAGAAGGAAAAATTTGAAATAACTGTAAAACATCTCAGTTTCACTGCACAAGTGGCCTTATATATACAGGGGAGGGGAAAGGGGAGGAACAGCAAGAGCATGACCAGGTCCCATTGGAGGTGTGTGGTGGTGGTCTGATAGCCAATGACCGACCTTGAGCAGAGACACCTCCCTGGACAGCTTGTGGGGGAGGAGGGACAATGAAGGAGTGAAGGGAAAAAAAAAAAAAAAGCCGCATCAAGAATTTTATAAAAGTTAGTGATTAGAAGGACTGGGTCTCTTTGCTTGCAAACACCTCAGCAGAAGCTTGTAGCAGCAGAGATACTGCCCACAAACAAGTAAGTATAATAATTTAATTTCTAAACTTAAAAGGTGGTACATATATCAGCAGCTGACACCTGGTATGTTTATCTACAGTGGGCTTGGGAAGTTGTTTTTGCTTTTGTTTAAATTTTTTTTTTCAGGAACAGCTTGTGAGAAATAAGCACTCAGCCGTTCTTCAGCTATCTTCCAAAGTGATCCATTTGCTGCTAACACTGGCTTTCTAACTTAGCTTAGTCACTCAGAACTCCTGGAGTAAATGAGTGAATCCTTAGTTTAAGGGAACTAGAGCAATAACATTCATGCGTTGCTTTCTGTTGCTGTGTTTTGTGTTTGGTTTTGCTTGTGGTGTACATAAATTTCTGTTTTGCAAGAACAGAGAATGACTGGAGAAGACAGTTGGTCCTGACAGACACCCGTGCTGTCAGAAGTGCAATTATGTGTGTTTGTTGTGTGGATTCTTCTGAAGCGTTAGTGCAGTGGTGTGGATAAGATTCTTTGGCTGGAGCGTATAAGGTCTGCAGTGCAGGAGAACAAAACCTGCCCTTGAATTAGGCTGTAACCTTTCAAGCTGTGAACAGCCAGCTTCAGACAACTGCTTGACCAACTCAAATCCTCACTGAGTCTGTGATCCATCACTTTCTCAACTATCCCAAGTGCTTACCCAAAACCATTTAGCCCACCTGAGACCCTCACACTGCTTCCCCCAGCCTCCCCTGCTGGCAATATAAGACTTGAATTCTCATGCAAGTCTAACAGCAATTTTTTACCATCTCTGWGGGAAGTCCAGCCCTGAAAGAGAAGTAGCTTCTTACCAGTGATCACATTTACTTCCAAACAAACTTTATGATAGCTCAGCCACATCTTGCCATTCTGAGCATTCTGCATGGACTGCAGAGGACAGGTCTCTGACTACACAACCTCCTTGCATTGTTTCTAGAGAAATAAAATAGAGATACATCTCAAGGCTTGAGAATAGCTCTGAGGTTAATATGGGAATCAGGACAGGCAACTTCAGATCTGCAGTTCCACTTGGGATACGATGTTGAATCAAGGTCTCTAGATAGAACATGAAGATGGCAAAAAAACACAGAGAGCAAAAAACAACCAAGCACCTATTGAAGTTAATACATCAATCAAAACCACTTGCCCCTTTTTCTAGGTGACAAAACTCTGAGAATCTCTTTTTGTCCCATACCGTTGAGACTTTTTAGAACCCAGAAACTAAACATTCTGCTACCAAAATCTTAATGTCAGTGCAAAGATGATGGGAGAAACATCCTGTTCTTTCCTGGGTGCTCCTTCATATATACAGAAGGCATTGCTTCCCCCTTGTACTCACAGACGGTCACGGGGCAATTCAGGCTGAAAGAGACACAGGACGTCTGTAGTGCAACCACATCCTGTCCAAAGCAGGGTTAGAAAGGGGTTAAGATGAAGGTACTCGGGGCTTTATTCAGGCAGATCTTGGCAACCTCCGGGGCTGGAGATACCACACCCTTTTTGTCAATCTGTTACATTACCTGGCTGTCCTAACAGAGAGAAAAAAAATCTTTATATCCAGCCTGAATCTCTCTAGTTTGAGTTTGTGCCTGTTGTCTCTCCCTGTCCCACCACAGTCCCTGTGAAGAACCCTTCAGAACCCAAAGAACCCTCTGCTTCTTTGATCATCACTCTGTAGGTATTGGGGGTTGCTGAGAGGTAGCCCTGAACCAATCACTGCTTGAGGCTGATCTAGACCCTGCTCTGCAGACTTCTCCTCACAGAGCAAGTGCTGCAGCCACTGGTRGCATCTGTTGAACTAACTCATTTCAGTCTGTCAGAGCTTTTCCTGGGCTGTGGGGGCCCAACACTGGATGCAGCACCCAGATGTAAACTATAGAGTGCTGAGCTATGGGGGATAATCCCATCCTCCCTTGGCTCTCCGGGCCAGACCCCTGCTCACAAGGGTGCTTGGGCCCTCATTGCTGGCCCCTGTTCAACTTGCTGCCTGGAAGGGCACTTGGTCATCCCTGAAGAGCTGTTCCCTCATCCCACTAGTCCTGGGGGAATGGCTGCCAGGGCTSTGCACCCCAGGCAGTGTCTGGGCATTTGTCTTGGCTGAACTTCAAGGTGCTCTGTTGGCCTCCTCCCACCCCCATGTCCAGGCTCCTCTGGATGGCTGCCCATCAATCAAGCATATCAAGTAGTCCTGCCAACCTGGTGTCACCTGCCAAGTAGATAAGAATGTTCTCCGTCAGCAGGGTGGGACCAGGCTTGCCCAGCTGTTCATACCCATCTGTTTTCCTCACGCCCAAGGAATCAGAGTTATTTAAAAACTGTTCTTTAACAGAACTTCACAGAGAAGTGAGGCCAGTAACTATATGTATCCACTTCAGTGAGAATATAAAGTTCCTAACTCATTATGTATCTGCCTCTCCTAAGCATACAAGTCTAAAAGAGGAGTAAATTCAGTCAGGCCAATACTGTGCCTACAAATAATGGGCAAATTTTTTTAATATCTTTCATTGTCCCTATCAACTGGCATTTATCTGTTTATATACTCAGCTGCTGCTTCTTCAAACCCTGTTCTTTGGGAGCAGAATCTCTTGTGTGCACAGTTTGTATTATTGATATGCAGAGATGCTGAAGGGCTGTATTTACTAATAACTGAGCAGGAAAAGCTACACGTGTGGGATACAAACTATAGTTAGAGACTTTGGTCCAGCACTTTTGGAAAAAAAATTTATCAAAGAAAGCAGTGAAGAGACCCAAGAGAAAAACTTAAGAGATTGTGATCCAATCTTTTCCCATCTGCAAACTGGAACTCAGGTGAGATTTTCCRTAAGATTAGTAGATGTCTGTCACTTGAGGTGGTTTGAAAGAAAAGATGCCAATGATGTATTAAAGTTTCTAAGATGATTGGAAGTCAGGGGGGTTGTGCGGTTTTATTCTTTTGAGGGTTTTTAAAATTCCACTTTAAAAAAAAATGTTACATAAGCAGATACTACAAAGAGAATGCATTATATTCTTACAATGTAAATTCAATGTGAAATCACTTGAGCTTATGACACTTAGCCCACAGCCTAAAACGGGTAAATAAAAATGAAATTTCTTGAAAAATCTTAGCAGTGGGACAACTCACAGTTACTGAGATTTATTACTCTTCATTAGAGCATTTTGCTTCCTGGAAAAGTTGTCAGATTAAACATATAAATCAGCTTAAGGCAAATAGCCTTTGTTTTTGGAAGACTGAAACAAGCTGTGCAGCTGGGCACAACTGTTTTTTCTCAAGACCTATGAGGTGGCATGTCTAGCTCTTTAAGAGGGGGCATTAACGCTTCTGTGGATGTGCCGGGAGCTTACTCTTTTCAAGGCAGCTGTATGAAATGTTGCTGAAGTGTAAGGCTTCCTCACTCCTCTGCTGCTTGCTCCCCTGCTCAGAGCAGGACTTTACAGCATAGATGCCCTTTTTGAATGCAGACATGARGATTCTCAGAGATTATGTTCCTCATGATAGAATCACAGAAGAATAAAATCCTAAATCAAGGGTACTAGAACATTCTGCACCTTTGAGCTATTATAAGGTTTACAGTTGTTCTTTTGCCCTAATTTCTGCACCATTTTAGCTAGAAACACTGTGCCTTTTATTCATCCTTGTAGCCTTGGCAGGGWAGCTCACCATGGCCTTAAAGATAATTTTGAAGAGATTCTAGGCAAATCTCATTCACACTCAATGAGATATTTGCATAGAAACTGGAAATAATTTGCTGTCTTCCAGTTCATCACTACACGAAGTAAAACTACACTTTGYTTTTTCAGTCTCTCAGAGTACTCACTTGGAACAGCATTATTCACTGAAAACTCTTATTTCTCTATTTTGAAAATTTGCCTTGCAGGCTGGTTTTGCGTGATAATTGTTTCCTTGTTATCTTGAGGCAAACACCAGGAACGAGAGAGAGCAGACATTAGTGTCATTGTTTATTGCATTGCTGGACAGAAAGCGTACCCATCATAACATGACCGGAGCAACTGGTGCTCTCACAATCCAGCCTAATGGATTAGAGGTTACCTGGAGGCACTGTAACATAGCTCCAAACTGCAACTATGAAATCCCACCCCTGATCTGGCAATTCATTAGCTTCAATCATGGACAAGATCATATTCTTGCCAGAGCACAATTTTCCAGTCTTTTTCCACAGAGACTGTGWACTATTAGAGTGATTCTTATCATTTTGCATACCCACTTATTTAAGAGTAGTGTGGTTTTAACTGAGGTGTTCACCACTCAATTATTATCACATTAATCATAATAACAGCACCAGTGTATCTTCAGTTATAAATGAGGGACACGAATTTATAGCTGTTACCATACTCTGATGACCCTGTTGACAGAAAATTTTGGCACAATTAGATATGCTGTACAGAACTCAGTATGCTATCATGAGTAGMAGACCCTTTATTGTTTCTCCCCATTATGCCCTTCAGCAGGACGGACAAGACATGGATTCCCTGGCAACACAGCATCTATGTGCAGGTTAAAAAGAAGCTGGACTTGGAGAAATATTTTCTGGCCATCTCTGATGAAATGGGAAATGGCATGTTCTCACTCCTCTGTCAGGCAGAGTTTAGGAATAGAAAATGCAAACACTGTCAGAGGCCTGTCCTTTTGGAGGAAAACATGATATTTGAGATCTCTTACATTGTTTTTGCTCAATCACCTTCTGGGTTCACCAC